GAAATATATAAAATTTAATATGTGTGCAAAAACTGTAAAATAACAATTAAAATAAAACGGAAGGAGTACCAAAATTTCTTTTGTGATACAATGACTAGTAACGAATAACACCAAAAAAAAACTAAACAACTCCAAAAAAATAGCAGACATTACAAACATGTTAAACAACACGAGCTAGCTAGATAAACAAAGGAAACAACATGGCCGAGAACGAACATTGCCAAATGGAAAGGATACCTTTGATAACACTTGAACACTAGGTAGGATCTGTCTTGTCCAAATTGTTTGTCCATTAAATTGAAATCCTTCTGTGCAGCTTATCGAGATCCTGACCAACGAGCAACTCAATCCTAACTACCACCAGTAATATGAGACAAGTACTTAGAGCTATAGTAACCTGAAGCCTCGTTGGAGAAGCATTGACAAAGGAGTCTCACCAAGTAAACTGAAGAGCCTGAAAGAAAGAGAAAGTACCCAAGCGAACTTGAGCACACCAACATCAGGAGCGGTGAAGACCGACATGACTAAAATAGAGCATTTTCCGCAAATCCCCATGCATGTAAAAGATGGCCAACCTGAAAACATAGCACAAAAAATACACAAGAAGACCAATGCAGCTTAAGAAACCACACAACAACCACCACTACTATGCACACACCTCCGAAGAACACCCCTTAAGTCAAACTTGACTGGAGAAGAGAGAGCAACCCACCACTCGACACCGAGCAAAAGAGAAACCAGCTCGACCCCATATCACGCCACCTAGAAGCTAGAGCTTGGACCACAAGTACACAAGATCTGATAGAGGACCCACAAACACCTGGCCACATCTCTCGCTACCAATGAAGGAGAAGATCGAGAAACAATAAAACTTTAGACCAATGCTTGCCAAAACCATAAACACCGACTTTCCGGCGATACAATTCACATTAAAATTCCTACGGATTTACTCCAAAGAACCAGAGAGAGAGAGAGAGAGAGAGAGAGAGAGAGAGAGAGAGAGAGAGAGAGAGAGAGAGAG